TCATGAAAGCATATTTTTGCTGAGTATTTAGTGTAAATTGTCTGATAGTATCTTGTTTTGTTGGAAATAATATTGCATTGGTTGTAGTTACAGGTGGAACTCTTGTAGCTCTCGTTTTAATAGGACTTGTTGGAATTTCAGTGGCTACGACCAGTGTTTTTAATATTAAGTACCACAAGCAAAAGCAAAGTACCCGAGGTACTTACGATTTTGAAAAAGTATCGTGTTTTGCACTTTGCTCGAAAAACAAAATATCTTGATAGTATTTTGTAAAATAAAAAAGCACTTTGCTCATTTGTTCGCCATTGTTTAAAAATTGCTCTTTTTCCTTTTGTTTACATATTCGATTGTATTTATAGATGGAGCTAAGAAGCTTTTTTTTAATTTGACCGAATGTATCATTGAAATTTCTTTTCTTTTTCTAGATATTGAATTGAACCTTGTTTTTATAGATAACTTTACTTGTTCTTATTTGATATTTAGCTTTGGCTCTTCTTTAATTTATATTTATTCATTCAATTGTTGTACATCATTTATATTTATTCATTCGATCGTTTTACTTAATTTATATTTATTTATTCAATTGTTCTATTTAATACATTGTAAAAAAAACTAGGTGAGTGCAGTAATATTATTATTTACTTTCCTTTATTTAGCATGTTTGATTATATTTATGATTATGATGGAACAAACAAATCTCGATAAATCATCTGGTTCAACATTATTAACAACTAATATTAATATTAATAATTTTCAAGGTGAACAGGTTTTAAATGATCGATTTCATTTATCTGTTAATGATAATAAAATTTCAGATCAAGGAGTAGTTATTATCGATGAAATTGAAACAGAAATTATAGTGGATTCATCTAATGAAAATAGAATACATATATCAACAAATTTGGCCATGGATCATGATTATGATATGGCAATAGTAGATGCAACAACAGTAACAACCGATCCATCAAATAAATCATCGAAGAAAACAATTCCTCGTTATTTACCTGCATGGGAAAAACAACTAGAATCTTTTTATAAAACATATACATTTGATATATTTGGTATTAGACACGAGAAACTCGTTTGCTGGTTGTACAACAAAAAAGATAAAAATGGAAATGATAGTCTTGGATGTAAACTTTGTCAAAAATATCAAAAAACATTGAACTCAAATGGAAAAATTAATTTATGGTGTACAACAGGTTATAAAATAATGAAATTATCAAAAATAAAAGAACATAAAGATAATGAAGTTCATAAACAAGCACAAGAACTTGAATTACAAACAGCATCTCATTCTCAACCTACTTGGACAACAACTCAAATAAAAGAAAGAAATAAACATGAAGCTGCAATACAAAATTTAATTCTTTCTGCTGTTTATGTCTGTCAACAGGATCAATCTCTCAACTCATTTGAGAAATTATGTACTTTGATTGAAGCTCTTGGTGTTAAATTATTACCAGCGGAAATAGGTAGCGTATCATATCGTAATGACAACGCGGCTCTCGATTTTTTACGTCATATTGCTTCGTATTTACATGAAGAAATTCTTGAAAAGATAAAAAATAGTCCATCTATAGGTAAAAATAAATAAAAAAATTTAATCATGATTTTATTGACTATTTTAGGTTGGATGCTTGATGAAAGTACATCTCGTACCGTAGAAAAAAGTCTGATAATCTATGTCAGATATTTGGAAAATGATGAAGCCAAAACAAGTTTTTATGGTATATTAGCTTTAGATGGTGATGGCTCGGCTGATAATATAGTCAAATGTATTGAATCATTATGGAGAGCAGATGATTTAAATCCTGAAAAAACGTGTTGGTTTGCAACTGATAATGCTGCTACATTTACAGGTACTGTACCTTTGTTTCTTTTTGAATTGTCAAATATAAGTGTTGTAGGGATAAACAATGGTGTTATTGCTAAATTAAAACGTAATTTTGGTATAGAATTTGTTGAATTAAATACATGTGTAGCACATACATTTGCATTGGTTGGAAATCAAGCTGGATTTATCAAATACGGTACGTAATATATACTTTTATTCATTAATGAAAAAAGTATTTTATAGATAATGAAGAAAAATCTAGAAAACGCGAATTAATTTCCAAACTGGAAGGTATAATAGGAAAAATTTACCAGTATTTTGGTTCAAGTGCAACTCGAACCTTCAAGCTAAAATGTTGGCAAAATTTGTTGGAAATTCCCGAATTGAAATTTAAACGATTGTTCCAAATTCGATGGACGGCTATTCGAGATTCAATAAAACCAATTATGTTAAATATTACACCAGGTAAACTTTTGTACAAATTGCTTTATCTTCAGGCTTTTATTCTTGGGATTCTGTTATAGAAAATCAAGCATTATTAGCAACACTTCAAGAATCCAAATTTGATAAAAGTTTAACCAATAATGATCGTCAAGCAGCAGCTGATCTTTTAACATCAATATTAGATGATGAATTTTTATTTATGATACACTTTCATTATGATTTACACGAATGTGTATTAGGTGAGATAATTTTTATTGTTTCTTGCGATTATTTTATTTCAATTATAGGTGATTTAACAAAAATCCTTCAGAACGATGATTTACCATATTTTACCTTTATGAACATATTTAATGAAAAAAAAATTATTTTAAACAATTGGTTGTCGCAAAAAAAAAAGAATCACAACCTGTTCTTGGTCCATCATTAACCGAATACGTCAACCACATGAAGAAGAACAATTCTTATGGTGCTTTTTCAATTGCTGCAATTGATCGTTTAAAAATGTATAGTGAATGTTTTACTCATATTAGTCAATTATTATTAGAAATAGATCAGAGATTTAAACCGTCAAAAGTTCAACAATCATTTGTTGTTTTATTCGAACCTGATTATCTGATTCAAAACAAAGATCAAGTTTCTAAATCTAATTATGGCCGCCAAGAACTCGAATATCTTTTGTACAAATATAAAAATCTTACTGGTTTCAATATATCTCAATGTCGAAATGAATGGGAAATTATAAAAATATCATTAAGTGAATTTGTATCAAATAATCAACAGCAAAATTCGAGAAGAAAATTTTGGAAATCGTTTATAATATGGAAAGAAGCTATTGATGACTCCTTTCGTGAACGGCACAAAAATCTTTTAATACTATTGTCTATTTATTTAATATCACCAATTAATTCCTGTGAATGTGAACGTGGATATTCAGTCTCTAATCGTATTCAAACAAATGGTCGTTCAAGAATAATGATCAATACTCTTGATGTGTTAATGAATGTAAGATTACTCTTTCCACATGATTTACGAAGGTAAACTATTGTTTCACGTAAAAGTAAAAATCAACATGCTTTTTTCGAATTCTTTTTAGTGATCAATGTCGGAATATTATTGAACGAGCTTATAAATCATGGAATGGACGAGATGAAAATCGTCGAATTAATCGCGCAAAATTAATTGTTGATGTACCTGATGATTATATTGCAGCAAAACAAGCACGTTCTACTGGTAAACAAAAACGGCACCTTACAACAACTGATGATTGTCCAATTAAATCGAAAAAACAAAAAACTAAAGCTATTAAATGCGCCAATGGTTGTGGTAAATGTATTGCTGATAATGATCTAACAGAAATACATGCAATTCAATGTTGTCATCAAACCGAGTATTATGATTGGGTTGAAGATAACTGTTCTCGATGGTTATGTAATACTTGTCGTATTAAATTAGGAATTTCAACTGAATCAACTACATGGTTTTGCGAAGATTGCATCGACATGCATGAAGAAGAAGAAGAACAATGGTAATTTATATTTTATTTTATTTTTATTTTGTTGTATATACAATAGTAAAGGTTAATTCAGAGAAGTGTTTATTTAACTTAGTCAGATGAATATGTGTATTTTTATCTTTATCTACAACTTTTTTGTGTATTGTTTTTTGTACAGAAACATATTATCAATTAATAAAGGTCAATAGTATTTTTTTTCTTTGTTTTTCTTAACATTTCTTTCTTTTGGTACGTTGGATACTTTGTTGTTTAAAACAAAGTACCGCTTAGCACTTTGCCAATAGAAGCAAAGTACCTAAATGTACTTTATTTTAGATTTCTGTTAAAAACTCTGGCTACGACTTCAACCTGTGTTTCATCATCTCGTATTTCCAGAGTACCTTCACCTGAAATTAAGTAGTTTCTTGCTTCATCTCGTCGACCTTCAATGTCACGTTTCCACCCTTTAATCATGGCGCTGTGATGCACGTGAGCTACCACAAATGTGTTGACGTCGTGTATGGTGCCATAATTATTTTGGTCCCAAATGTGTCTGCTGCCTAAATCAAAACAAAATATTTTCGAAATATAGCAGTAATTAACTCACCATTTAGTAATGCAAATCTATCTGTATTATTAATTGCTTGTAATGCATCATGAACATAGCGTTGTTCCTGAGTACCTGTCAATGCAGAATAAGCGTTTGTGGTAGTCTCATTTACAATGGAGAGCAAATGCAAAAGTTGTTCAGGATCGTCTTCTTCTGCATTTGCATCGCCTTCATAGTAGTTAGGCATCAAAATACGGTCAATGCTGTTGTCATTTTGGGCTTCTAAAAGAACTTGATGAAGGTGCTCATCTAGATCGTGTTTGCATTCGTGCAAAAGTTCTATATTTTCTATAATCTTAAGCGAGTTGGGAGAGATCAATAACCTTCGAGCTTCCAATGCTTCAGACCATGTCTCGTTCGTTGCACAAAGGTTCTGGACTGATCGCCATGGCACGAATAATGTTAACAACGCGCGACAATAACGTTCATGTGTTTCTTGTCGTTCGCGGCGAGGTATTTGAGGACCTATCAGAACTGGTACTACTGGAATGGAACGTTTAATTACGAGATGAGATGTTGATTATGGATGTGCGCTGTCAAATGTATGACGTTCATTCATTTTCGTTCCTTCTGTAGGTAATTGTTGGCCTTGAGAATCGGTTACATTCTTTAGTAAATGACGATCCGATTTGTCGATAAGCTTCTTGTGAAAATGGCTCACAAAGTCATTTAAGCACAGTGTACTTAGATCCTTTGATCGATGCTGATAGTCAAGACGAGTATTGACCAAGACATACTGATCGCCGCTGTTGGTTTTTGTGGATTCTAATAAAAATTGTTCTTCGATTTCGTTTTTATCTTCTCCTTGTTCATCATAGAAAGGCGTTGAAGTCTCTAGAAAACCACATATTAAAAATCTAAACAATTATTTTAAAAAGTTCTACCATCTATTCTTTCTTCAACAATTTCTTTTTCGTTAATTCGTGCTTTATTTAGTTCTGTTTGTAGATAGTTTTCGATTGAAATAAGAAAAAGATTTTTGAACGTATGTGTAGCGTAGTGGTCACCATAGTTCATTAGATATGATGCAACTTGAACACCTGAAACTTCTTGTTGTGAAGCAATCATATTGAAGCAGCGTAACACTAGTTTACGCGATTTGTCAACAATATTATCTGTGCTATTAGAAATTCGTTCATGCTCGATAGATTTGATGCCTTGTTGTGCAAGTGCAAACATATCATAGAAGGCCAGAGTAGACTTTGTCACGTAGTCAGCTATATAATAGACTAATGCTTTGGCGTCGTTACCACTCCAGATGAATTTAATGTCCATGTTCGATCGGCACGCACTTAAAAGCCATTCATTAAAGTTATTGATCCACGGATGTGATCGACGCATAGTTATCTGACCTGTTGTAAGGTCAATATTAGAAACATTCACTAGTGCGCGTGGCATGCGCATTCGACAGGTTTTTGAACTATCATTCTTGCCTTTAGAATATTTATAGCAAGTTGCAGAATGCTTGTGAATATTGCAGGTTGTGACCAATTGAACTATATCTTTGCGAAACGTTTGATCAAAGTCTTCCAATGCAGGATTTGGTGTTGGGAGACATGCTGTTATAACTTCACTTGCTGTTGATCCAATTTCTCCTAGGATGAAGTGAAAATTATAATTAAAGATCTACTAAAAGCTTCAAAGCTCACCAATTGATGTTCTATTATCTCTTGCTGTACTTGTTTCTTTGTCGGTTTCATCTTAAAAAAGAATGTTGATATTCAAAAGTACAAAAAATATAAGTCTCATGAATATATAGTAAGAATAAGTGATTCGAATGAAATGTTTTGCATTAATGAAAATGTTCCGGAAGCTCAAGTTCAAGGCAAAGCAGTGATACACTATCAGGGTGTAAAACAGTATCAAGTGGGCGAATATAAAAACTTCAAGTCACAGATTCAAATAATGTCAAATATATTACCTCGAAACGAATCTAAATCTTCTTTTATGACATCTTCTAAATATTTTAGTAAATTTTCACGAAAATCTTGATTTTGAATATTTTCTTTCAGTTGAGCTGGAGTATATTCATGATTGAGCCAAATCAAGAGATGTAAATGGAGCGATCCTCTTCCTTGACTCTCTACAGTGCCGAAATACGCTTTTGTAGGACCGAGCACACCGCCGACCACTAGGCTTTTCAAATTTTTTTTTATTAAACAGTTGAAGAACTTCGCAGTTGCAACAGGGTGCGTTGCGATAATTTTAGCACGCTCATAACTTGTACGCAGGACTTCTGGCAGAACGTTATCAAGGTCGAGATCAACACCTTCAAAGTAAAGTGCCACTGGACTATGGATGTCAGCCGGATTGATTGTGAGGAAAAGACTAGGAAGACCAAGATAAAAACACAAAGAATGAATTTTCGTACGAAGAGCTGATCGTGAATGAGCTGAGTCCATGACATGACCACTAATAATTTTGATATGCTTCCTCAACGTATTTATTCTCTCGTCAGTAACTTTTGAATAATGCGCTTTTGAGATATTAATAAGGGCTGCTGCTACATCTTCAGAACTCAATGAGTTAAGAACTTGTGCGAATTGTTGAAACCATGATCTTGTTGTCATTAGTTGGGCGTGGAAACATGCTGTTCGGCGTTGTAAAATATTGAAGACAACAAATATAAATGAGTAGTGCTCTTCAAAGCGGCGATCTGCATACGAAAGAAGATATCTGAGATGCTCACGAAAATTGATTTGAATCAGTCGAGAACCATCCTCAAGCCCACCACATCCATATGGGAATAGGGCGGGAAAGATTCCTAATAAAAGATTTGGATTAGAATATTCATTGGCAGGTTTGTTGCCACGAGGAATTATGTATACAGTGTTTTGTTTAGAGTTTTGCTCGGTGTCTTTTCCGTGTGTTTTTTTTTGGCGCTTGTGTTTTAATTCGTTCTAAAAGATGTTCAGCAACTTCATCAGACGACACTTTGGTACCATTGAAATCTAACACAGCACTATAACATAAACAATATTAGTGCAAAAATATCAACATGTCTCTTTGTCTTACCTTGAGATTATAGGTATAACTGTTGTATTGTTAAATTCAGATGTATTGATCAACGGATCAGGAATGTAACTTGCTCTTTCATTTTCAGCTGCTTCTACATTAGTAGAAATTTCCATAATTGCCCACAAACACTCCGGTACATCATTGTCAGGTAATTTGTGGATTATTGATTGATTAATTGTAACATTGCGATACAAGGGATTATTCTGTTTAAGCCATTGAAGTGCTTCGAAAACTTTCTTTTTCCGAACAGTTAAAACATTTTTTAATTGGTTTCGTTGCGGAGGACGACATCCAACAAAGATTATCTTTAGAGAATCCCATAGGTCATCTAAATCTAGTGGTAAGCAGGCATCGTAGCAGACCCTTAAAATATAGGACTATATGTCTACGTAATATATGAATAAATTTCAAAACTCCATGTAAATACACGAAATTTTGGAATTTGTTCATATATTACGTAGACATACGGTCCTATATTTTAAGGGTCTGCTACGATGCCTGGTGGTAAGGTAGTAGCTATGTTGATAACATCTTGGGGAAAACTTATGCAATTTCCCTTTAAAGCTGATTGAGCTGTACTTGTCGAATGAAAAGACGAATTTAACTTGACAATGCAGCTATTATGCCTATAAAGAGCAATCAGTTTTTGCTCAGGAATTGTTAATCCTTGTAGTTGTTCTGGAACATCCCCAACCCATATTTTGTTGGCAGGCGAAAATTTCGGTATTTTCTCTTTTATTAGAGACGACCAACATTCCGAACAAATGTCACAGTATACCGAATATCGTTTTTTTCTGTCAACAGTTTTATGCAATCCTGCTGTATAAAAAACGATACCATTTACACAAGTAAATGACTTTTTAGTCATTGTTGATTGAGCATTTGTATCTGAAATTAAAAACAAGATTATTTACTGTGTTAGTTTACGTATTAGCAACACCAACCTCCTGCTTTTTCTGCCTGAATCAAAGCCATGGCAAGGTCGTCACTCCTGTTAAGATTATCATGTGAGTGGAATGGGTGCGTTTCCTGCATTTCCGGAATTATGCCATAAAAATCATTGGATACTTTCAGTAATTCAATTGACGTTATTTTACTGAACGGTATGTAATGGAGATCACGTTTGTAGCAACGAACGTTACAAATACCACAAACACCTTCTTGCAGAGAACTCATCGACATATGTTGAATAAAGTCCTTTAAACAGTTCTTCTTACGTTCAATATCAATAGGTTTTGGCCATTCAAAGTCGTTACTTTCTTGTACTTTTGTTTTCACCGTTTCTTGTTGGTGCTTGCCACTTTTTCGAAGCTGCTTTCTCTGACGAGCAGATGCGCACTGACGTTCGAGTTCATCAGGCGTGTAAGCAGCTCGTCTTGCGGCACTTCTTTTGCGAGCTACTACACGTTGTTCTTCAGCTTCTTTTGGTGATGCAGTAGCTCGTTTACTCATGCTTTTTTCGGCAGCAAGCACTCGCTGATGTTCGATTTCTTTCGATGAAAAAGTAGCACGCCAAGCTTCTGTTTTCTCACGAGTAATTGCTCGCTGTTATACGATTTCATCGGGTGTTAATGCAGCTCTTCTAGATGCTTTTCTTTGACGATCAAGGCTACGCTCTCTCTCAGTTTGTTCTGGTGTTAAGGCAGCTCTTCTAGCTGCACTTCTTTCTCGTGCAAGGGTGCGCTCTCGTTCAGCTTGTTCTGGTGTAAGGGCAGCTCTTCTGGCAGCACTCCTTTCTCTGGCAAGCGTGCGTTGTCTTTTAGCTTCTTTTGGTGTAGCTTCAGCTCGTTTAGCGGCCATACTTTCACGAGCTTTTTGACGTCTCCGATCCATATTTGTATTTTCAACATTCGTATAGTTTTCAGTTACTTGTAGTCTTCGTTTAGTTCGAGGTGTGGTAGTAATTTGCTGGACCGAAGTGGATGTGGTCGATAACGTTTGAAGTAGCTGGGCTTCTTCATCTTCTATATTGAACTCAGGAATACGTACTTGAGTCACCGTCTTGTTCTTCGTTGTTGCTTTGGTTGGTGTCTATGTTTAAAAGTACATTTTTCTACATAATGTTTTCGCAATAAAGTAGAATTTACTAAGCCTGAACCGATGTCTCTAGGTTGCGTTGATTCATTTTGAAAATATAAATTGTGCAATGGAAGCAGAAGTGGTACGAAATGATTCGGTGTCCAACTACCAGCATTGCTCCTTCGTGCATTTATTTCATTTTGGGTATGTGTCCAAAATATATAAATTGTTTCAGATGAAATGCTGTCCTGAACGGGTTGAAAAGTGGTGTTCATAGTGTCTAAATCACGACGATAATCAATTTTTGGATATATACTCCGTATGTTGCATTTGAGAACATTGCTTAACGCTGCGACTTCATAGAGTTCCGAGAATGAAAAATTGCGCGCAATATTTTTTTATAACTTCATTGAGTGGTCCAATAATATGTGCCAAATTATTGCTATAAATGATTTCATTTTTGAGAAGTTCAATTAAAGTTCGAACTAGAAAGAGTATGATAAAACAAGTAGATATTAGTGTTGCAAGTATATACCTCTCAACTCAGTAGCTGTTAACGCTGTACTTCCACTTATACATGTAATGGAATTATAAAGACAATTGCCGTCTCCAGTAACACTAATTGGAATCATATTTTGAACCTCTGAAGGTGTTTGTTGAAGATATAATTTTGCTTCTTGATCTATTCTATGAACTTCTGGATCGAAATACGTGACAGGTGATAATCGAATCGGTGGTAAAAGCCACTCCAACTAAATTGTCAAAAGCAAACGTCACTTGAAATATACTGTTACTAAACTTACCGTATTAATCTGTTGACAAATGACTTTGATTTGATCATAGTAATTACTGACAACAGATGCTTTGCCCAGTAGTGTCAAAAGAATCTCGAACATGGTAGAGGGTGTGGGTGTGGGTGTGGGTGAGGTGTGGTGCTGCGTGTAATTTAATGAAAGACCCACACCCACACCCACACCCACACCCCAGCCACCCACACCCACACCCCACCCACACCCCACCCACACCCCACCCACACTCCACACCCACACCCACACCCACACCCACCCACACCCTTCGTCAATATATTTAAAGGTGAATTAGAGGTTCAAACAAGTGATTGAACCTATCCGTCTGCTTGTTATATTTTTTTTTGCATAGAAAGTTGAGAAATGATTTTTTTTGATCATTCTGACTGGATACAATCCTATCTATTAATAGATTGCACTTACATCTTTCATTGTCTATTTGTTGCGTTCTCCATTTCGATTCTTACTTGCTTATCAGTATTATACTTTTTTGTTTCTAAATTATATCTATATGACCGTAATAGGATGAAATTTTAATTAACCTTTTCAATTACTTAATTACATATATTAAAAAAAGCAAGTGCACAAACCATGACAAGCAAACCTATTCAGAGTTCTAAAATGAAGTTCAATGATTATTAGCTGTTACTAAATTACCCGATAGATATATTAGACATAATTTGTATTCATAATTAACAATTATATTTTTTGAATAATAAATTAATATAATTATCTATTTCTACGGTCCAGCTTTTGCTCCAATTGGTATTCCAGGTAATATATATCTTGAAGGTGTAAATACAACAGAAATAATTATTGAACTTGAAACTGTTAATCTTGCTTCGTATAATACAGTAGATAAAACTTGGTAAGTTGATATTATGTTAAGTAGTAATAATGATCCATTTACAAGTAAATTAAAATTTATATTAGAAAATACAACATGGTCATATGAAACTACTGTAACATTTAATCATAATTTAACAATATCTTTATCAATATCAGATGAACATGTATTACATTGGCGGCCAAATGGATATGGTGATCAACCATTATATAATTCAGTTATTTTAAATCAAGATAATCGAATTGGTTCACGTTTAATTGGTTTTCGTACAGTTCAACTTATACAACATGAATATGGAGCAGGAATAAATGGAACATCATTTTATTTTTCTATTAATTTTAAATCTATATTTATAAAAGGAAGTAATTGGATACCATCAGATTCATTTCAAGAACGTGTTAGTGATGAAAAACTTGAACGTTTACTACGTTCAGCTCAATTATCAAATATGAATATGTTACGTATATGGGATGGTGGAATATATGAACGTAATTCATTTTATGAAATAGCTGATCGTTTAGGTATAATGTTATGGCATGTTTTATGTTTGCTTGTAGTCTGTAAGTTATTTAAATTATTAGTTTTGTTTTTTGTGTTTTCTTATATTTGAAAATTTAGTTATCCTGTTGATGAACTATTTTTAACAAATGTTCATGATGAAGTTATTTATCAAGTTAAACGAGTTCAACATCATCCATCTATTGTACTTTGGTTTGGAAATAATGAAAATGAAGCTGCTGTTGCACAAAATTAGTATGGTATACCACAAGAAAAAATGAAAAAAACAAAAGATGATTATAGAAAATTATATGTTGATACAATTATCGATGCTGTTAAACAAATTGATAAAGGAAATAATCGACCATTTGTTACTTCGTCACCATCAAATGGACTTGAAACAATAATTGAAAATTATATTGCTAAGGATCCTCAAGATCCACTTTATGGTATATAGATTATAAAAATAGAATAAAGTTTGCTTTTTTTTGTTGTGGAACGAGTTTCTATTTTGTTTTTTAGGTGATGTTCATTTTTATGGATATCAGGATGATTCATGGGAACCAACAACATATCCAATAACTCGTTTTCTATCTGAAACAGGTATTCAATCATTACCAAGTTTAGATACATGGTATGAAACGACAATGAATTCATCGGATTTAAATTTTAATAGTTCATTTATTTTACATCGTGAACATTCAGAAAATCAATTGACTGCAATGATGTTTGTTATTTTATATTAATCAAAAAAAAATTATTTTGACTTTTTTTTTTAATTTCTAGGAAACATATTGAAAATAATTTACCATTACCAGTAACAAATGATTCATTAAGAAATTTTGCTCAATTAATTTATTTAAGTCAAATAAATCAAGCTATGACATTAAAAAGTATAAGTGATCTTTGTCGACTTCATTCATCAACAGATATGATTAATCCAAAAACAGGTCAAGGGTAAATTTTTTTTGTTTTTTTGTTCTACAAATATTTTATTCTTTGTTTTTTGTTAGTCATACCATGGGCTTAATGTATTGGCTAATAAATGATATTTGGCAAGCACCAACATGGGCAACAATTGAATATGGATTAAAATGGAAAATGAGTCATTATTATGTTGATCATATGTATGCACCTGTTTATTCTATTGCTATGCTTACACCTTATTTAGCTAATGTTACAGATGAAAATGCTCAAGTTTCATTTTATGTTATTAATGAATTACTTAATGATACACGTGGTGATTTAATATGTTCAATTTATACATTAGATACATTATCACCTCGTTTATCATTTGGAAATGATATTTTATTTACTTCACCTGATGTACAAAATATTATGAGTTTTCCTTATTCATTATTAATGAAACGTGTTGATTGTAAAGATAATTCTCCATGTATAATTCATTGTTTATTAAATCATAATCAACATCAAATAGGACAAACATTATTTTTAAATCGACCAAAAAATTATCAAGTATTAAATCCTAATTTACAAATTGAAAGTATTAAATAAATATCATCAACAGATTCTAATATAACGATTACTGTTGATCGACCAGCTTTATTTGTATGACTTGATATAACAGCTAATGTAACTGGTTATTTTTCACGAAATGGATTTCATATGTTTCAACCAAGAATGACTATTAATTTTCATTCATGGATACCAATTAAAGATTTTGATAAAGATAATTTTGATATACGTCATACTTCATTGTTTGATGTTACATTACCATAATTCTTTTTTTTTCTTTCACTTGTTTTCAAAGCAATAAATAAACTATACGATTTATTCATTAAGAATGATTAGATAAAAATCATTTCGAAAGAGTCTATTTGTTCAAATGTATTCCTTTTCCGATATTAAACGACGGATATGTGTGAATTATTTATAGATAATGATGATACATCATAGAACTGTGAGAAGTCGCTGATTGAAACTAATTTAACTTGAAAATTTCGTAAAAAATGTTTAAAAAAAAATTGTCAACGGAGGTAAAATGTGAAACTTACAGATGTTCTTTTACCTTATTCCCTCTACTGAAAGAAGGGTAATGCGCTGAGCAGCTACAACGACCAAATGTTCGTTTGTGTATTCGTCGTAGAGAACGAAAAGGATGTTCTTTTGATCTATTACAATATAATTTCTTCTAAATCTAGCAAATATCGTAAATGATATTGGGGGGGGGGTTGTCTCGCAACCAATCAGATTTCGAATATTGAAAATCAAGCCAATGAGATGTTTTCTGGGCTCGTCTCTCAACCAGTGGGATTTTGAGGGTCAAAAATCGAGCCAATGAGATGTTTTCTGCATTCGGCTTGCGGCCAAAGAGACTGCGACAGTTGAAAATGAAGCGGATAAGATGTTTTCTGGGTCTGGCCCTCAACCAACGTGACTGCGACGGTTGAAAACTAAACCAATCATATGTTTCTATGGTTTAGCTGTTAAGCGATATGTATGTTAGGGATGGGAATTCAGGGAATCGGATTTTTCTGCAGTGTGAGTCTCAGGCAGTTCTTTTAGGGTCTGGGATCACAGTAAATGTGATGTTTTGTCAACTTAGATTGGAGCCAATAAAATGCTGAGACAGCGGCTTTAGGTAGTCAGCCGTTCTTTAAGTGTAGATGCGAGTCAATGAGCTATCTAGAATTAAGAATTCAGTCGATCGGATGTTTCTTTGGCTTACAGCTCAGCCAAGAAGTTTTTAGGGGTTGCGAATTTTTTTTTTTGGATATTTTCTCGGTCTAGTGTTAGCGAATTTTTTCGAAAATATTTAACAACGGAGAAACATATTTTCTGACGTTTAAAATGTTAGGCTGAGCATTCTGTCTGTGTAAATATTCGTCGGAAATACACAGGGTTTTGTCTTTGATGGACACCTCAAAGCCAGTCTCTGAAATACTCAATCCATCTGAAAAAGCATCTGATATCATGGGCGATCTTAATTTTAGCATGGCATTTGTTATGCTACAACTCTTTTCTTATACGAGTTTTCTTTCACTCTGCGAAAGAAACATCAGTGCAGCAATACTCATCAGAAAAATGGACAAATCACTAGTGGTGTTAGCCCTGCACTCCCGATTTCAATAATGCTAGAAATTGATGTCCGATATCAAAGTTGAATTATAGACAATTTGATAGAGCATATTCGGATGCTTACACTTAGGTTGTTTTT